CGGGCGGGAGGTCATGGGCAGGCGGGCGGGAACGAAAATGAAGTGGTGGTTGGGCGTTCGCGGGCGGCGGCTGGTTTTGGACCAGATGCATCTCGTGATTGTAAGTGCATCTAGTGTCACCCCTAGTTGGTTTTGGAGTATTGACGACAAACCTGTTTGAGGGACTAATGTGTTTGTGAGAATTGCAGGATAGCACATGTAGTAGTCCCTCATTGATCTGGTTTACCTACCGAAGATGACCCCTAAAAATGTGTGAAGACATTGAAGATAATGGTGGTATGTGAAGATATTCATATTGAAGACTATGACATGAGAAGACATCGCATGAAGTCTTTGGAGCGTGAAGACATAGTTGTTTCGTAGTTTCATTTTCTTCTTTGTTGAGTCATAGGAACCACCGTACTGTTAAGTGGGGTCCAAGTGAACAAAGTTATAGTGACTAAAGTGATGCTCAACCAAATCCTAAGTCTTCGAACGAAGACAATGAGAGAAAATCTTATCCAGAGCTGGATAAGTCTTCTTTACTTGTAGCCCAAGTCAAGCTGCCGCGTGTGTTTGAAATCTGATCGTTGGAACACGTGTCAGTTCCTTAGTGACCCAGGGTCATTTCGGACAAACCAGGTTGGGTTGCCTAGTGTCTATAAATAGCCCACCCCCTACACCATAAATTGGTGGCTCCTCAGAGTTAGTGCACGGCTTTTGTCGTTTGAGCGCAACCCATCTCGAAGCCTTTGAGAGAGAAATCCTTGCGAGGACAAAGCCCTAAACACCCAGAGCCAAAGAGTGTTAGGCATCACTGAAGTCTTTCTTTCTGTGTGATCTGAAGACTTGTTACACTTGAGGACTGTGAATCCTCCAACCGGTTAGGCGTTGCGTTCTGAGCATCCAAGAGTCATTGTGGATCGCCGGTGAACGAAGTCTGTGAAGGTTTGGAAGTCTACCTTGAAGACTTACCTGAGTGATTGGGCGAGGACTGGGTGTCCTTAGCTCAAGGGGAATAAGGTGAAGACACGGTCTTCTGAGTTGAATCTCAGCCTCCCTAACCAGACGTACAGTTGTCATAGCAACTGGAACTGGTCCAACAAATCCTTTGTCTTCACCAAGCAACTGGTTCTATCTCTTCCTTCTCTTTACTTACAGTTTGTCTTCATGAAGTCATTGCCTGCTTGCATTATCTGTTTGACTTCACTGTGTGACTACTTGTTCTGATTGGCTTCATACTATCTTCCATCCTGATCCATACTGCCTAACTGCTAATAGTCTTCATGCTTCCACTTCATTAAATACTTGACTATGGCTTGCCTAGTGTAGTCTTTCTTCCGCTGCATGTTAATAGGTTCATTTCTATCATTTGTCTTTGAAACTTCCATATTTTGAAGACTTTCATAGAAATCGTCTATTCACTCCCCCTCTAATCGATAACTAGCACTTCCAATTGGCATTAGAGCAAGGTACTCCCTTCTTCTGTGTGATTCGATCTAACCACCTGGAGTTTTAGCTATGTCGACTGCAGGAATAATCAAAGTCTCTGTTGCGTGCCCTGTCTTCGATGGCACTGATTACCCCTACTGGAAGAATAAGATGTGCATGCATCTTGAAGCCATTGATGTCGATCTATGGTATGTCGTCAAGAACAGCGTTCCCAAGACTGATGAAGGTCTCACCCCTGCTGATATC